CGCTCCCACGCGCAAAGTTTGCAGGAGGAAGGAGGTTCCCGGGCCCCCGCCCTGAGCTCCAGGGCCCCAGAGGTGACCCAGGCTCAGATATGGTGGTTCTCAGCGAGGGAATAAGGCGAGGGAGGCTGTGAACGCGGCTCACAAATATCGCTGCCAGTGGCTGTGCTGCAGCTTTTGCCACGCGATCCTAAAGGGGGCTGCTCAGTGTTTGCAGCGCAGCAAGAGTTTATGATTAAAAAAAAAAAAAAAAATCTACCAAAATAGATCTGCCTGCGCTCACAGACACACACACATGTGTATTTTGGGGAGCTTAAAAGTTCAGAGTTTTTTCAAGTTAGAAAACAGTGATTTTCAACCTTCTAGCCAGCCTTCCCATCTCCGAGGCACCCTCTTCCGTTTAACCCTTTCCTTATAGTCACACACTTGACAACGCCATACCCATTTGGTGTATCGAATATACAGTACGCTCACAGAACTCGAAGAGCTGGAATGTGTGTGTGCGTGTGGTTTTACTCACTTAGGAGGGAAAGGAGAGAAAAAAATAAATCCCTAGCAACGCACATTGTACCAGAAGGTTTCCTTTATTTCGGGGAAGTTAGGGATATTTTTTACTCACTATGTTTTGGAAGAGAACTTCCTTGTTTCTTTTTGTCTCTTTAATGTGATGTGTGTCTGGCAACTGCTACCACTCTCTCCCTACCCCCCACCCCTCGACAAAACCAATGTCGCTATTGGTTTGAAATGAGAACTAAATCAGTCAACAACTTCGCATGAATTTAAACACCATACCTCCTCTTTTCTCATTCTACCTCACAGGGCTTTCACAGGAATATGTGCAAGCCCCCAGCCAATCTCACAGTGTGATAATTATTTGTATAATTATCTGTCACCTATTCGAAAGCAAGAGGATCTGTCCAATTCCTTGTTTTATTACTAGCATCTAATGATATGCCTGACACATAGTAGGTGCCCTGAAATCGACCGATTTATTTAACACAAGAATAGACTCAATCTGAAATTTCTCCAATATTCTCATTAACTTTTTTTCCTAAATTAAGTTTTCCAAAATGTCTTTTCATAATAGCTACCTCTACCTATGTCATTTTGACTGTCCTGGAAAACTTAAAGCCATTTGGAGGACATTTCCAAAGACAGGGTACCCATTAGATAACTGAATTGGAACTGTTAGGATTACTAATTTTAATGCCATAGATTTATATTGCTCTGTTCTTTTAAAAACTTCAAAGTATTTAACATTTATTAATTTACTTGTCCTTCTAAATTTTAGTTTAAAGGTCTGTTATGTAACTTCCTTAAGGAGAAAGTAGAAGCCACAGTCACATTTTCTTGTAAGGAAAATAAGATAAAGAACAAGTACCATCATTGATGAATATTCTTCCATCCCTCTCCGCCGCCCCCTACCATCCCCAGTGAATTTTCTTTAGTCGGTGCTAGTAAATTATGTGGTCAAAATATATTTACCACCATATTCATTAAACTTCACAGTTTTGATACCTTGTCAGCAACAAGACGTATTTATGTTCAACTTTATCTACTACATAGAATCATTGCTCTCTATTTTAATTGCAAAAACATTCTGCATTCCAATATTCATAAATAATGCTATTTGTATCATTGCACATGCAATGTGTCATGCGAGTCATAGACATGAGTTCAAGTTCAATTCTCTCTCTGACTCACTTTCCATTCTGAGTAAAACCAAGAAAAGAGCTGGAAATAACATTCATAGCGACAGACCTATAGAAACACATTTTTTTTAATTTGATGCAAATTTAAATAAAAAGATATGTCCAATGGATTTCATTAAAGAAAAAGAGGAAGACTGCAATCATTTCCTGAGAGATGTGGCACATTAATTTCTGTGTCATCAACTTTTCAGTTAATAAAGAGAAACTTATATGTCAGGGACCAGGTTTCTCATTAAAAAAATAAATTGTATTATTTCTTTAGTATTAATGCAGCATGTCTTTGGGAGGGCTTGCATGCTCCAGTACCATTAACTTCTAGGTGTTAATTCTTTCTAGAGTATGTTGTTCCCAGATGAGTCAAGTTCCTGACTGGGTACACCTATCCTGACCAAAGCTTCTGTGGTGCCTCTCATCACCACATGAGGTCTCCATAAATCCTGACCCGGACTAAACGTAGGTGGAATCCACTAGTCAACATTTAAGTCTCCTATTACGTTGAGAAAAAAAAAAAAAAAAATCCAGTTACTAAAATAATTTAGAAAACAATTTAGGCATTTAAAAACTCATACACTTAAAAAAATGAAAAAGCAAGCATTCTCTCCATTAGCATTTTCTGTGAAGAAATGAAGTTTGTGAATTTGGGATATGTGGGGGGAGGAAAGGAAAAGAGAATTGATGAAAAAGAGGTAAATATTAGTGAAAACAAACGAAAATAACAGTAATAGCATTGATTAAATTCATGAAATAGAATAATTCTGTGGATTTAACTGCTTGCGTGTTCATGATTCTCCATTGTTGCAAAAGACATTCATGTTCATCATAATTTTCTTCTTACAACATCTCTGTATTGGAAATACAGATAGGAAATATAGATATGAAACCCTAACATCATTGGAGAATGAGATTTAACTAAAATGTTTCATGCCTCTTAAGTGCCAAGTTATTTGATAGAGTTAAAACCACAGTGTAATTGTAGATGGTTGCTATTTTATTTGTGTTCAGGTAAGGATGTTGGTCTTTAGTTAGGACTGATTAAATGGCAGAGCTGAAACCAGAACCTGAGTTCTCTGAACTCAAACCTCAATTGGTTCCCCTACCACTCAACCCAAACTATGGAGCCTATGGAATTCCCAGGGGTCAAGGGATCTGTAGTTCACCAGGAACCATCACTCTTACACAGCTGTTCACATCTTTCTGTGCAGACAGTTTACTGTCATTCGAAGAGAACAGGGAAGAACTAGGAGTCACAGCACCAGCACCCCGAGGATACTGAAAACTAAGCAGCTTCTGAAGCTGGCGTGAACTTTGAGATGATTCTCTAAGGCAGTGGTTCTCAGGGTGTGGTCCATGGACCAGGAGCATCAGAAACACCATGTATTCTAGTTAAAAATGCAAATTTTCAGACCCCACCTCAGATCTACATAATCAGAAACTCTAGGGGTGGAGACCAGAAATCTG